AAAAAAGGGTTTTTTTTTTTTTTTTTTTTTTGGCATATAGAACTGGTAGGTATTCATGGGCATCTTGATCCATTTAAATTATCGTTTTGGGGGGAACTGTCTGATACAATAATGGCATTCTTACTCTACGCCCTGCTGATATAAAAATTTTTATGGTATTGCTTTATGAGGAATTTCTTGCACCGTGAGGATTTTATATCAACTTCTCATTGTCTCGTCTTTCTTTAGGTCATTTTGGATCAGGTGTTGCGTCCTATTTCATATTCTTGAGGTGGTTATTTGGGATTAATATTGTGCTCACGATTATGACAGGTGCTTTTATTGTCATCCCAGAGGTAAGAACTGCTTCAGGAGAGAAAGAAGTATCATTCATTAGAAAAAGGAGACAGTAGGGTAACAGTATAAATGACTCCTCTCGTTATCCTCGTGGGAAGGATAACGCATGTGTAAAAATAGGGCTGGGAACAGCAAATTTTTCCTGTAAAGAGACAGAGAGCAAATTTTTTAGGCTTTGTGGGCCATTCAGTGTCTGTCACAACTACTCAATTCTGCCACATAGCACAAAAGCTACTGTAGATGGTACCAATGAGTGTGGCTGTGTTCCAATAAAATTTTATTTATTAATGCTGAAATTTGAGTTTTATGCAATTTCTATGTGTCACAAAATATTGTCCTTTTGATTTTTTCCCCAACCATTTAAAAATGCAAAAACCATCTTAGCTCTCAGTCTGTACAAAAAGAGGTGACTGGATGGATTTGGCCTATGGGCCAGTTTCCGAACCCTGGGTTCAAATAAAACCCGTATTTCTACTAAACTTCATCCTCACAAAGTAAATGTGCCATTTTCCATGCCATCATAGAAACCCAGTGACCTCAATAATCTATTCATAGAAGCCATATCTGAGGCAGGCCCTGGTCAGGCAAAAAGCAAATCTGGCTACCCATAATTAATTGTCCATCAATGAGAATCAAGCAGAAATCCACTCCCCTGGAGATCTCTTATGTATGGCATTTTTACAGACACGTGCAAATAAACTTCCCCTTTTCTTCTGGTCCTCTCCTACCCAGAGGACCACATGACATCGTATCCTCTCTCTCCAGCTGATTGCAGGCCAGCCCTTTGGAAGCACAGCCAGCAAGACCATCCCCAAGGAGCATGTTGCATCTGCCCGAGACCTGGACACTGTCTGGTCCCTGGGGGTGAGGTTGATGCTTTGGCCACATTCTTATCTTGAGGGAGGGGGTTAATGGGCCACACCTGGGAATCAGAAATGACGTTGAGTGTTCTCTTTGCAGGGCTACCTCCAGTACTCAGTCCTCTTCTATGGCTATTACGGCAGGGAAAGGAGGATTGGGAGAGCTGGCTACCGGCTGCCCTTGGCATATTTCCTGGTGGGGATGGCAGTGTTTGCTTACAGCTTCATCATTCTTTTAAAAAAGTATGACTTTTCACTTTCTCAAAATACATCAAGAATTAATGATGTGTGTGATCTCATTTAATCTTGTCAATAACCCTGTAAAGTTGAGACATAACTGTACCCATTTTACAGATGAGGACACCAAGGCTAAAAGAGGTATGTTCATTTTAACCAGCACTTATTGAACACTTACTACTTGTGCTAGATTCTGTGTTGGGTCTAGAGAGACAAGAATTGTATAGACCTCAGTTAATGTAATTTTAGATAATGTTGCAGCTGAGCTAATAGAAATATGAACAATAGAGGCTAGCTGGCCAAAGTTTGCAGAAAGCAAAATATCCTTCTTTGGCTGTATGTTTCCTGTGACCCAGCTACAGATTCTGCAAGGGCCAGGCCTGTCAGTACTGTGATGCCGTTGACACGTCTAGTGTATTGTTGAGAGGAGGCACAATACTAAAGAAAGCACATGCTAGGGCTGAGGAGTCCTGCACCACCCCCCCCCCTAGAGGAGGCACAATACTAAAGAAAGCACATGCTAGGGCTGAGGAGTCCTGCACCACCCCCCCACCCCCCCCAAGAAAGCACATGCTAGGGCTGAGGAGTCCTGCACCACCCCCCCCCCTGTGAGGCCTGCAGCAGCTCACTTTCCCTCTCTGGGCCTCATCTGTAAAATGGGCAGCTTGGATCAGAAAATCACCCAGTTCCCTTCCAGCTTAATTAGCACCCTGTGTTTCTATGTAGGATATAGGTAAACGCAGGCTGACAGAGAGGCTCCAAAGCCAGGGCAGAACCCGGCCCTCGCCCCCCTTCACTCACCAGCTAGTTCTGTCTGATTTGTGCTCTCATCCTTCATCACCCTGCCTCTTGTGACATGTTAGGAAAGTGCTTGGGATAAAAAAGATAAAAATAAACAAAACAATGCAGACACAACACTTCATCAGCTGTTCATCAGCAGTGACTTAGGAGCCTTCAGTTCACTTGAAGTTTTCCAGCTCAGCTTCCGGTGGCCTCAAGAGTCAACCTGGAAGACTTAGACCTCTAACTAGATGTTACAGTCTAAGAGGCAAATCAGAGCAAACTTGGGAGCAAGAAACGTGCGTGGAGAGGAGAGCTGGGTCCTCTTTTTCAGGATGGCTAAGAACTCCCGCATGAGCCTTGCCAGTGCTTCCAATGAAAACTACACCTTCTGCTGGCGGGTGTTTTGTGCCTGGGATTACCTCATTGGAAACCCAGAGGCTGCGGAGAGCAAAACGGCTGCCATCGTGAACAGCATCAGGGTGAGTAAGCGAGGGTGCCGTGGGCCTGGGCTCTGCAGACAGCATCTGCAGAGTGAGCCGCTGGCCCTCTGCTGGAGGAGTCAGCACCATCCGCTTCCCGTGGTGCTCATGGTCCAGGGTGGCTGTTTCCAACGTGAGGCGAGCACGCCCCAGGAAATGCCCGAATGACCCCCTGGAGTGCGGGAGAAAATATGGGCACTTCTCTTTATTTTTACTTTTTATTTCATCCTTTAAAAATTTTAGTTTGTGTATTTTTGATAATTTGCATAATGCATTATTACCGTGTTGTATATTATGTAACCTGAAAATAAATAAATTACACAGGAGGTTACTTCAAAAAGTTCATGGTAATATTTGCATTATCTTTGTTTGTTTTTGTTTTCGCATGATGGCTTTTTATTCTTTTTCTTTCCACATCTAGAAAAAAAATTTCTTGAAACATGTTGATTGTACACATTTATGGGGTTCAGAGTTATATTTCGATACATGTGTACAACGTGTGATGATCTATTCGGGGTAATTGGCGTATTCATCATTGCAAAACTTGATCATTTCTTTGTGATATACACATTTGATCTCCTCTCTTCTACTCGTTTGATAAAATGCAGTAAATCGTTAATTATAGATTCCTGCATAGACTGTACACCAATAAGACTTATTCTTCCTATCTAACTGTAATTTTGTGTCAATTAACCAGCCTCTCAGTCTCCCCCCTCCCCCTCCCCTTTCCCGCCTCTAGTAACCACAGTTCTTCTCTCTCTTTTTAACAGTTCAACTTATTAGTGTTATTATTTTTTTCTGGTTTTTGTTTGTTTTGTTTTGCTCTCTATTTTAGCTCCCACATATGAGTGAGAACATGCAGCATTTCTCCTTCTGTGCCTGGCTTATTTCACTTAATATAATTTCTCCCGGCTCATCCATGTTGCTGCAAATGGCAGAATTTCATTCTTTTTTTTTATGGCTGAGTAGGAGTCCATCTTGTATGTGTACCACATTTTCTTTATCCAGTCATCTGTCAGTGGACATTTAGGTTGGTTCCATATCTTGGCTATTGTAAATAG